TTATAATTATACAACTTAATCAAATCAGAAACATCTATAAAGTCGCGATCAAGTCTTTGGACACTGTTGCTGGAAAATTAAATCTTCTAGTAGCGTCATCAAATTCTTGTATTTATCGATTACAAAAAGAAGTCGGTCAAGTTTTTGGCTTCGTTGCCGGGGATCTAAATCTTCTAGCAGCGGTATCAAATTCTTGTATTTTTAAGCATATATAAAATCGCCGGCACGCTGTCAAATGACCATCAAAGCAAAAGAGATTGTGCTTTTTTGGCAGACATTTTGGATAAAGAGAAACCAAGTGGAGAAGTCACAACTGATTAGCATGATTGGCTTCTGTACATAGATGACACCTCAAATCAAGCAGGAGTAGGGGTGTGACTTGCTTTGAGTAGCTAGTCAAGAGAACATCTTTATCACTTAATCACTGCAGACTTCGAGGTGACCAATAATCAGGCAGAGTATGAAGCCTTGATCACTGGCATACGCCTTGCCTACAAAATGGGCATATGATGTTTGCTTCTGAAGTCAGATTCATAGTTGGCGGCAAATCATATAAATTAGAAATTCAATGCAAGAGATGAAGTGATGTTCAAATAAATTAACAAGGCGAAACTAGAATCTTGAACTTCACCAATTTCAAAATTGAGCATGTCGACCGGGAGGAGAGCCAAGTGGCTGATCTGCTGTCAAAGTGCGTTCACATGGGGAACAGGTTACCTCAGAGACTTAGCTGACCAGTCATTGAGGAACCCGAAGCAATGACTGTGGCAACTGAAGAAGCCACTAGCTGGATGGATCTTTATGCCCAAAATTTAGAGACTGAAAAGATTATCGAAGAGATTACTGATCATCCCAGAACGTTAAAATATAAGGACGCTTAATATCTATTAATTGAAAGAAAGCTCTTCGAAAAATCAACCACGTCGTTATATCTGAGGTGCATTTGAGAAGACGAGACAGAGGATGTCCTCCAAAAAATTCATTCTGGGAAGTGTGGGAGTCATTCAAAAGAAAGAACATTGGCGCACAGGTTCAATGACAGGGATATTTTTGGCTGGCACTATTGAAAGATGCAGAAGAATTATCCAAGTGATGTGAATAATGCCAAAATACACCCCGCTGTAATATCAACCGGCCCACAAGCTTCAGTTGGTCACTAGTCCCTGGCCCTTTGTTGTCTATGGATTGGACATCCACGAACCATTCCCCCCTTTTAAAGAACAATGCAAGCTTTTTCTAGTAGTTGTAAATTATTTCTCTAAATAAACCAAAGCGAAAGCTCTCGCCTAGTTTACCCCAGAGGTCATCCAGAAATTTACCCTTTATTTCTTGGCTTTATCTAAATTCAGAAAAAAAATATTACATCAGTAATATACACGTAGAAGTAACGTGAGTAACCAATGAAATCACGCCACGACACCCCATGCGACAGGGAAAAAAAACAGCGCAATAACACGTGGAATATTCCCCCTGTGTTATTCATGTGTTATTTCTATTGCGTGTTATTCATGTGTTATTGATGTGTTATTGTGTTATTATAACACCAAGAATATTCTCATGACACAATAACACATGAATAACACACAATAACACCTGAATAACACGGAGAATATTCTCAACAGATAAAAAAGCGACGCAGTAACAAGGGGGAATATGCTCCCCCCGTGTTATTCATGTGTTATTGTGTGTTAGTTATTGATGTGTTATTGTGTTATTATAATATCAGGAATATTCACATGACACAATAACACATAAATAACACACAATAACACATGAATAACACGGGGGGAATATTCCCCGTGTTACTGTGCCGTTTTTTTTCTCTGTCGCGCGGAATGTCGTGATGTGATTTCATTGACTACGCATGTTACTCTAGGTTGTAGCACTGATGTAATATTTTTTCCTAAATTCAATAGCAGTACTTCGGTGCTATGTATTTAAACAGCCCTTGCATGATATCAATCTTGGCATGTTAGATTTACGAACTTAAAGCCCCAATGGTAAATGATCGGACGGTCCTGCCAGCGCAGAATATTGGTTCGTTCTTCTCACCGGAGATTTCATTGAGGCCGAAAAAGCAGGCAAAGAGCTTCGCTACCCCGTGCTTCCCATACCATTTCCCCCCACTGTTCTCGGAGGGTTTTAGCCCTCTACAGAGGGCGGAGGAAGTATCCAATGGCAAACTCCTTCGCCGAGCCGGCGAGATGGAGGGATCTTGACAAACTCCTTGCCCGCCCTGGCAACATCGTTGGTCCCGGCTTCGAGCCGAGTCCTCAGGTAATTTCATCCCGTTCCTCCTCCTCCCGATTCTAGCCTTGTTTTAAAAAAAATCCGGCATGGTTTACTGGTTATTGGATTCTGTGCAGCTTCGACAGGAGATTGGGGAATTTGTAAGAATTTTGGTGGTGGGAGCCGGTGGGCTCGGCTGCGAACTCCTAAAGGACCTCGCTCTTGCTGGATTTCCTAAAATCGACGTCATCGATATGGATACTATAGAGGTCTCCAACCTCAACCGCCAGTTTCTCTTCAGGTCCCTTTTTTTTTTCATTGCCCTTGGCTTTCCCTCTGTAGGTGGAGCAAATTGTTTTTTGAATTATATAATTGTCTTTGTAGAAGTTTTATGTTGTGATTTCTGAATAGCATATACAAGCCATACTCTTTGAGTTTTGACGCTTAATATGGATCATTTGTTCTCTTCTCAAACATAAAACACTTGGACTTTCTCTATTATTGTCCAAGTCGTGTTGGTCTTAGAAACTGAAGGTGCAAGCATGTTCAATTCCACCAATGGAGAAATGTTCATTAACAACATTTTATATTTTAAGCCACCCTTATCAATTACGGGAAAAAATATTACCTCAGGAGTACTGATGCATCAGTACTCCAATGAGGAGATGCCACGTGGTATTATGATGTGACCATTGTATACGTGACACCTCCTCATTGGAGTACTGATGCATCAATACTCCTGAGGTAATATTTTTTAAAACTACGGAGTGACTTATATTTTGGACGATTTACATACATACCACTAAATTTTTATGTATTTACATATCTAACACCTAAACTTCAATGTTTACATACACAATACTTTTTCTATTTATAAAAAGTTGTATTTCACTTTTCAAATGTTAAAATGGTGGCATTTTTGATGTGATATGAAAGATTGGGGTGTTATAAATTTAAAAAATAAATTTTAGGTGTTAGATATGTAAATTCATAGGAATTGGGCGGTATCTATGTAAATGTTCTTATATTTTCTTATGCAAACTCGTAGACTCTTGGTATGGTTTAGGGAAATAAGAGTATAAGACTATTTTATATACATAACACACAAAACACTAAAGGAGTGTTTGGTAGCCTCATATTAAGCTAGATTTACTAATTCCAGCCAAACATAAAAATGCATAAGTTTCATGGATTTATGAAATTTTGGATTTAAGATTTGAACTTTACCTTTGATTCATGTTAAATTCGGATTCAATAAATCCAACAAGGGGGTGAATTTAATAAATCCAGATTTACTAAATTCTACTAACGTTAAATTCTTCCTAGAGCCAAACACCCATAAATTACTCTAACGGAAGTGCTTGATACCAGAGTGTCACACCTTAATTGGCCCCTCCTTTAAGGGTCAGTTGAGTTGCGATAGAGACAGACAATTTGCAGAGTGTCACACCTCACCAACGCTTGTCTCGACTTGCAGAATCAGGACTCAATGGATGAAGAACTAGTCTAACTAAATTTCCGTAACATATGCGATATATTATATTTTATAATTCATTCATATTCATACTCAACAGCGTGAAAAATCATATCATCAATACATATAAACTATACAGAGCATTGAATTTAACATTAATTATATACGTACCCAAAAAGTCTGTATAACTCTCAAAATTATACAAGACAAAACTGTACAAATCACACTTGACTACTCGTCCCGGTGCTCATTGCTCTTGCTTAGAAGACAACAACATAGACTGAACAACAACGAGCTTAGAGATATAATCATAACTAATATATGATTTTATTCATGGAAAATAAACGTGCATGCTTATATGAAATTGTACATTTGTACACACAAGTTATGACATGCTAGCATAATAGAAAACATGAAAAAAGAACAAAAAATATAAAAATTAAGACTATAGTTTAAACATGTAGGTCATAAACATGAAAGCGTAAGTATGTTCATAAAATTTTTATCGTATGTAGTGTCATTTTGATAGTAACGTCGCTTGTAAATATATATGCATAAACTATTTTCATGTTTTATCATCATGGGTTATTACCCTACCTCAGAAATCATTTAAACTATCAATAAATGTAGCAGTTATCAATAGCCCTCATAATACTATGGTTCCTTAATGTTCTATCACTGCCTAATTCCAATGGTTCCCAGAGTTTCATCCTCGTATAAATATTATGAGTCGAGAATATTACATCCCTGCATAGTATACTTACAAGCACTCATATAATAGTCTACTCATAATATTACTCGTGACATTTCTTAAAACATAATACCCATATCATATATTCATAGATATTTCATATACATGTATGAATCATAAATAAATATTTGTAGTGTATCATAACATAACATAACAT